GCATAACTTAAGTTCCATTTGGCCCACAATGTTCAAACTTCATAGGATGATTGTCCATATTGGGTAGAAGACCCCTATTGATTTTAGGGTCAAAAGGTCAAGGGTCAAGGTCACTATATCCTTAAACCTGAAAACAGTTTCCGGAGCATAACTTAAGTTCCATTTGGCCCACAATATTCAAACTTCATAGGATGATTGTCCATATTGGGGAAAAAACCCCTATTGATTTTGGGGTTACAAGGTCAAAGGTCAAGGTCACAATTACCTTAAAACCAAAAACAGTTTCCGGAGCATAACTTAAGTTCCAATTGGCCCACAATGTTCAAACTTCATAGGATGATTGTCCATATTAGGTAGAAGACCCCTTTTAATTATGTTTGTATTTTTATATGCCCGAAAGAATTTCGCGCATATTATGTTATACCCCCTGGCGTCTGTCCGTCTGTTAGCAATTTGGTTTCTGGAGCATATCTTAAGTTCCATTTGGCCCACAACATTCAAACTTCATAGGATGATTTTCCATATTGGGTAGAAGACCCCTATTGATTTTGGGGTCACGAGGGCAAAGGTCAAGGTCACTATGACCTTAAAACTGAAAACAGTTTCCGGAGCATAACTTAAGTTCCATTTGGCCCACAGTGTTCAAGCTTCATAGGATGATTGTCCATATTGGGTAGAAGACCCCTGATTTTGGGGTCACAAGGTCAAAGGTCAAGGTCACTATGACCTTAAAACTGAAAACAGTTTCCGGAGCATAACTTAAGGTCCATTTGGCCCACAGTGTTCAAACTTCATAGGATGATTGTCCATATTGGGTAGAAGACCCCTATTGATTTTTGGGTCACAAGGTCAAAGGTCAAGGTCACTATTACTTTGGTACTGAAAACAGTTTCCAGAGCATAACTAAAGTTCTAATTGGCCCACAATGTTCAAACTTCATAGGATGATTGTCCATATTAGGTAGAAGACCCCTATTGATTTTGGGGTCACAAGGTCAAAGTCACTTTTACCTTAATACTGAAAACAGTTTCTAGAGCATAATTAAAGTTCCAATTGGCCCACAATATTCAAACTTCTTAGGATGATTGTCCATATAAGGTAGAAGACCCCTATTGATTTTGGGGTCACAAGGTCAAAGGTTAAGGTCATTATTAATAACTTAAGTATTAATCAACCTACAGCTGTAAAATTTTATAGGATGAACAGCGAATTCCCATGTCTTACTAATGCTTCATCCTTACTAAAAAAAAAAAAACACTTTCGGGCATATAATGCTCCGCCTAGCGGTGCTCTTGTTGTGTTATACAAATGTATTTCTGTTGACACATGCACTAGAGTTTAATTTTCATTATATTTTTTTTTTTATGAATTTATTGTTACTTGCATGTGCAGATCTAGCATTGATCAAAATTTTGCACTGAAAGTCCAGATCCATACCTCAATCTTTTGAAATAGCACAATGTTTTGCTTCATAAGATAGGGGACACAATCATAACTCTGTTACAAAATCTTGTTTGTATGAGTTTTATACATAGCTTAACATAATGCCCTCTGGTTCTCCATTAGTTATCATTTCATACCCTTTGAATCCTTTGAATGGAATAATTTAAGGAGTCTATGCATTATATACCACTTTCTCTAAAAACTGAACAGATTTTAACCAAATCTATAATTATATACAATAAAATACTACAAAAATCCTAATATGATTCAATGAAAATTAAGCCATTAATTCAAAAACTTAAAATTTTCAATCAATTTGTGTTGCTGCTTGCCCTCCGCAAACTTGAACGTTGTCTGTACCTTTTAAGCTCGACTTTTTTTTTTAAATGTAGAGGTATTGTTATAGTCATGACGGTGTTGCCGTAGCTGTCCGCAAACTAAATGTACCTTGATCATAACTTTTTTTAGTTCTTGATGTATTGTATTCATACTTGGCCACAACATTTCTTTGGACAAGACCTTTCAGTAGACCAGACATATCTTGACCTTCATCCTTAAATGACCTTGATCTTCAAGGTCAAATGCCCAAATTTTGCTTGTTCTTGGTATTATTGGCTATAACTTTGTTATTTTTTGAAAGGATTGTCTTCAAACTTGAAAATAATAATCTTCAAGGATAGCCCTTTAAATTAACCAGACAGACATTGACCTTCACTCATAAATGACCTTGACTTTGAAGGTCAAATTATTGAAAATTTTCATTTTTTTTCCCTGTTACTGGTTGTAACTTTGCTATTATTGTATGGATTGACTTCATATTATAAAAGAACACTCTTAAGGACAAGACCTTCATATCAAAGTCAAATTTGACCTTGACTCTTTTATGACATTGACCTTGAAGGTTAAACTATTGAATTTTCACTGATTTATGTATTAATTAATTGACTATATATATGTATATATATTTTATTTTTCTGTGATACATTAAAATATATATAGATCTATATATCTAATTTTTTTTCTTCTTAATTTTGATGATATTTTCTTTTATTTGTCATTTATATATGGAAAGGATTCATACTTTGACAAAACTAGAGTGGCAAGACAGACCTATTAAAGTTATAAGAAGGAAAAATTAAGATTTGTTCAAACGTTTCTTTGTTTGCTTTTAGAAAAAGTAAAAAATCGAATCGTAATGCCCCCGCTCGGAGGTGGCTCTTGTTTAGGCTTGTCCAGCTTTCACAGATCAAACTCCTGTGATTATTTTTGCCAGTCTTCACAGGAGTGATCATGCAGTACCATCACTAGTTGTGCATGAAAAGAAAAAGCTTGTTCTTCTTTCACAAGTCAAACTGCTGGTGGGATTTCAATGAAACTTCACAGGAGTGATCAGTACCATACTTTATTGTGAGATATGTTTTTGTTGCGAAAAACCCCTTCTAGTTCATGAATGAAATATCTTCTTACTGAAGAACATTAACCATTCAGACTAAAAAATGATTAAACACAATTTGATATTGACTTGTAAATGACCTTGACCTTGAAGTGTCAAATTAATGCAATTTCAATTTTTTTACCAGGCATATAGTGTTACTATGTTTCGTCATTCCGCCCCGCTGTCATTCTGTTATCATCAGTTTCCATTCATTATCCTCGCAATAGTTGCACACATTCAACACGTATTTGACATATGGATATATCATCAGAAAATGCAGGTCAAGTTTGAATCTGGTCATGGTCCTATGATTTTGACAAGAGTTATGCCCCTTGAAGTAATTTTTAGTTTTCATTCATTATCTCCCCAACAGTTGTACACATTCAACTTAAATTTGACATTTGAATACAACAAAGGAATGCACAGGTCAAGTTCGAATTTGGTCATGGTTTGATGATTTTTTTATTGTTAACCCTTGTCATCAATTTTCTTTTCACACACAATTTGGTTTGCTATTTCGTCACTTTCATTCTCAAGAGTTTTGAAGAAAAAAAATTCAGTTTCGGTTCACTATCTCCCTAAAAGTTGTACACATTCAATTCAAATTTAAGATACCAATATGTCATAGGGATTAGTAGATCAAGTTTGGTCATGGTTTGATAATTTTTGACAGTTATCCCTCTTGAGCTTTGGAAAAAAAAGAAGAAATTTTTAGTTCGTTCAACTCAATTTTAACATATGGATATGTCATGCAAAAATACCCAAGTATAATACCCAATACAAGTTTGGATTTTGGTCATGGTTCGATGATTTTTGACAGAGTTATCCCTCTTAAACTATGTCAGAGTTTGACATTGCATGTGCTGGTATTTTATCAGAAAATACAGGTCAATTTCAAATTTGGTGATGGTCAGATTGTTTTCACAGTTATTCCCCTTGAACTTGGAAAATATTTGAAAATTCACAATTTCCAATCATTATCTTGGCTACAAATATGCAATTTGCAAAAGGTTAACACGTCTGAATAGTTTCTGGGTCTTGAACTTTGTATAAACATGGTTTGTGTTAACATCAAATAGTTTAAGGACCTTGAACTTTTAATGAAAAAAAAATGGTTTGTGCAAACAAATTTGGAACTAAATATTATTATAACATTTGAATTTTTGCTGCTAGGGGAGGGGAACATCAGACTGTGGCATGACACATTTTTACTTTTTTTTACATAATTGGCTATTACTACGGAAGTAATAAGTGGATTGTCTTCATATTTGGGCACAAAAATCTATGAGACAAACAGATTTAATTGATTTTGACCTTGACCTGAATTGAAAGGTTCTAAAGGTCAAATTTGTGAAGTTCACAACAATTTGCCATATTTATGTGATTGTCAAGTTATTGAAATTTGCTGAAATTTAACTTTGAAATTTTGTTACAGATTTGATTTATGCTTCATTGAACGCCGCCTTTCCTTGTTGATCTTGTTTATCATATTTTTTGACAAAAGAACATAATTATATGACAAAACTGACATGTTGAATTATTCTGATTTGTCCTTGAACTTTAATTGACATTAATTATATGAAAATTATCAACTTAGTTAAATAATTGAAATTTTCTTATATTGTTAGAATTTAACTTTATTATTTATTTAAGGATTTGGTTTAGTCTTTGACAAAATAACACTTATTACAAAACTGGCAATTGTGGTTATTGACTGTCAAGGTCAAATATTTTATTTGAATTTTAATTTGTAATACTTTTTTGCCCATGAGCATATTGTGAAAATTGGCCGTTTTCATTGAAAAGCCTCCTGTTACAAGTTCCAACTGCGCATCCTCCGTCTGGCAACCCCCTGATGTATCATTTTGATGGGGGCTGCGCCGAAAAAATTTTCACTTCTTTTAACAGCATTTCTGGAACAAAAAACTGTGTTTGGGGCCTAAATAGGGCATTTTTTCACTGTTTGAGACCACCAAAAGGGGGGGGGGACAAAAAGCTGTCAAAAGACGTCTATATGAGGGCGTTAAGACATTATGTTAGAAATAAGGAAAAGTCAAGTGAGCTAGGTCCCAGTCTGGTGATGTCTCTTGTTAAATTAGTGATTTCTGTTGATTTTTTTCAGTTTTGACATAAAACAAGTCATTCATGGCAACTAGTAGTGTTAATAAGCCAACTGAAGAACCACAGGGGACACAATCTCAGACATTTAATGACACAGCTACAATTAAAAAGGACAAAAACTCACTGTTAGTGCCCATAGAACAGTCGAACCCCATAAGAGGAATTGAAAATAACCTCAACAGTGAAATGCCAAATGTTGACCTGAAGAAACAGTTTGCAGGAGGTCAAAATGCTATACAAGTAATAAAAGAGCAGGAAGGACCCACAGACATTATATATTATACTGATACTATTCAGGATAAAAAAGTTGTAAAGGTGCCCAAAAATGATCTGTCTTTTTCTAATAGCCTTGAGCTTACCACAGAAACTGAATTGGGTAAAAAAAGTGCTGGAAATCTTGTTAATGCAAGTGATGCAATAACTGATAATGAATCTGAAGGTGACAATAACAGTGAAACAGTGGAGTGTGCTGAGAGATGTAAAGGGTCTGATGAGGAGCTTCCAAAGAACGTAAATCTGTCTTTAGAAGGCTACACAGGTAACCCTGATAAAGATGAATTATCAAATACATGTACTGTTGGTTGTGAGAGAGGAAACTCTGGAAATGGATCTGACTGTATAGACAATGAAAAGGTTGCATCAGAAGATGAATTGTCCAGTTCAGTAATACCATTGGAGGAGAATGAAAGTGACGAAATAGCAAACCAAATTGTGTGTGAAAAGAAAATTGACGACAAGTTTGATGAGATAGACTGCAAATCTGAGGGAAAGAAAGGTGAAGCAGACAGAAAATATGAGGCTGGCAATTTTAATGCTAGCTGTCAAAGGGGAGACATTGATAAGCTTGCCACAGAAACTGAACTAGATAAAAAAATTGCCGGCAATCTTGTTAATGCTAGTGATGGAATAACTGATAATGACTCTGAAGGTGACAATAGCAGTGAAACAGTGGAGTGTGCTGAGAGATGTGAAGGGTCTGATGAGGAGCTTCCAAAAAACATAAATCAGTCCTCAGAAGGCTACACAGGTATCCCTGATAAAGATGAATTATCAAATACATGTACTGCTGGTTGTCAGAGAGGAAAGTCTGGAAATGGATCTGACTGTATAGACAATGAAAAGGTTGCATCAGAAGATGAATTGGCCAGTTCAGTAATACCATTGCAGGAGAATGAAAGTGGAGAAATAACAAACCAAATTGTGTGTGAAAAGAAAATTGATGGCAAGTTTGATGAGAAAGACTGCAAATCTGAGGGAAAGAAAGGTGAAGCAGACAGAAAATATGAGGTGGGCAATTTTAATGCTAGCTGTCAAAGTGACGAAATTGATGAGGTAGAGGGAAAAAAAGGTGTTGAAAGCAAAAATGCTTCTGTCATTACAAGTACTACTGTAACAAGTGACAAAATAAAGATTTTCAAAGTCATTAGTTTTTACTATGTAAAGGTTGCATACAAGTTCAGCAAAGGATATACAAAGAACATTTGTCTGCAGACAATCTTCATATGCACCATGATGTATCAGCAATATGATCCACAGTTTTCCATCCCTAAAAATACCATCAGTGCATATTTACTTGAGGATATGATTCAAGACTTTTACATTGGTAACCAGGAATACAATGTTTTTGCAGTTCTTGAAAATAACTTGACATCCGTAGCAATGGCAATGTTTCTGCCAGAGCCTGATCTTCCAAGAAGTACTGTTCAATTAGCTAATACATTAGGAATTAATTTGAGGCCATATGATCAAAATACAACTAATTCTGGAAGCATGGACAGGTCACAGCCCAGAGTGGACAGCTCTCAGTCTATACAGCATACTGGTACAAGCAGTGGAGGTCATCAAAGCAATGATGAACTGCAGAGATGTTCAGAGTTCATCAGTATTTCAAGTTTACCAATGACAGCCACTGTTAGAGAAGGTGAAACTGATTCACAACAAGTTCAAAGATGCACACGAATAAATGATGTACCAGGACTCCCTGTTCCTAACCAGCTGAACTTAGATGAGGGCAGCACAAATAGGAAGGTAAGGTTCAGAATACCAAATTTCTTCAAATATTTGTTAATTAGATTGATGGGACTTCTTACAATCACAATTGCAATATTAAGTGCTGTGAGACAGTTCTACAAAGTTTCCCAGTACTTCATCTTAGTTTTGTTTTTAGCTCACATGACCTCGTTCATTCCGTGTGAATATAGAATAGAATTATCAACTGGACCCTTCTGCTCAAAACATTCAGTACCATTAAAATTAAACATTAACTAATCCACTCACTGGTTAACTCTACTATGTTGGAAGCAACCTAAGTTACCTAAAACGTTCAGATAGATAAAACTGTTGACTTATACACTGTATTGAATGTATTATTTTCTCTTTATTTTTTGCAGGAGACACAGGCTCCAGTGAGGAATATTTTCACAAATATAAGGGAAAGCAGGCAATCTGCAGATGGTTTGTTTATTTTTCAATGATTAGACTTAATTTAAGAATGCAGTTTACTCAAATTAATGAGTTTTTACGCTAATATATACTGATTTAAAGCATTATAGATATTTACCAATCTTAAACTCAATTGTTTTATGATTTCACAGCAGTTTTGTAATTATTGAAAAGGTGTTAGCATATCAAAGACCAAACCAGTTTTATTAAATATTTAAGATTTTAGGAATTTTAGTCTACTACTGAATGGTAACCAGGAAGCTAGTGTTGAATTCAAGCATGTAGAGTATTAAGTTATTTGCTTGAAATTTCATAACCCACAGTATCTTAAAGACTTCAGTTTATTTACAAAATATACAAATAAGAGGCTAGATGTTCATTGAAAGAAAGAAAAAAGGATAGAAAAAATATCTCACATATATTTTTTGTTCCAGGAAGTCCATCGTCTGCAACCACCAACTTGAGAGGTAGAAACATACCAACAATTGGCACATATAGCCTGGAAAGAATATCAGAATATGCAAGTCATCTCTCCAACAGTGTCTCAGAACAACCTTCTCAACAAATCAGTGATGATATGGTGTTTGGGGAGGAACGGATGAGTAATGAACTAGCTCGTGCAAGAACGTTTAATGACAGATGGCCACACCGTCATTTGAACCCTGGTGATATGGCCAGGGCCGGATTCTTTTTCACTGGTAAGTTCCAGAAACATAAATGAAGCTCAGTTTATACTTGATTCATGATGTCTTTTATGATTTAGCCTTTATCATATATTCCAATTAATGTTTTATAAAATTATTATAATTTTATGAATAGATTGTCTGCTGGATAAGTTTTAATTGTCAACAATATGAATCTTACAGTTTGGATGTAATAAAGTCTTAACATTAAGCTCTTCATTTTAAACTTTTTAAAGGAGGTAAAACAGAGGGAACAGAGGGAGCTTGGAACCTTAAGCCTAGGCAGGCTTAATATAATGATTTATTACTTTCCATAGTCATCAATTGAAATTGTATGGAGCTGAAGTACATTTGATTAGAAGACATTTTTGCTCCACACCAAATAGGAGCCCCTCTCAAATATTCTCCCCCCAAATTAGCACTTTTCCATAAAACCCTTAAGCTATTTTTAGATTGTCTTTTTCGAAGAAAATTTTCAAGTATTTCAACAGGTTGTTGTTGCTATTCCGCTGTCATCCAGGAACTTCAACATTGGCCATTGCTTTTTTATTTCTGAATGGATTGTCTTCATACTTGGACACAGCAATCTTTTTGTAGAGGAACAGAATGAACTTGACCTTGAGTCATAAATTACAAGGTCAAATGTTTTAATTTTCCTTATTTTTGCTAAAATTTGCTATACTAAAGGATTGCCTTTGTACTTGGATACAACTTAAACCTGACATTGACTCAAAAATTAACCTTGACCATCAAGGTCAAATTAAATATTTTTTCTTGATTTTTACCATAATTGGCTATGTCACTTTGTTATTTAAGAATGGACTGTCTCCATACTTGAAAGAACAATCCTTTGGACAAGACCTTAAAGTAGACCAAATTAAGTATGACCTTAACTTATCACTCAACTTGATATTGAATGTCAAATTATTATAAAGTTATAAGGGGGTATACTGGAATCAGGGCGTCTGTCCGTTTTTCCTTGTGTTGTGGTGATAAAAAATTATGTAATAAGTGGTTTTATTTTTTTTAGAATAAATTCTAAAGTGAAATTGGTTTCAATTTAGAATTGAAATTTAAGTGGTCCTTCCAGAAGTCAGGTGGTCAATTACTATTATTATATCATTTTACTGCAAATTTAGAAAAAAAATGCTTAGAATTGACGACAATGTGTATTATTAACCTTTAAAGAAAACAGATATTTTAGATATATATCTTTTTTAAATCAGAATTTAAGGAGAACAAGTCAGTAGGTGTTTTCTTTCGTTCAGTTATTTGTTTTTTTATCTCATTCAAAATACACGTCATAGCTCTTAACTTATTTAGTAAATAAATTATTTATGTTAACTTTTATATTGAAGTGATTTCTCCCTCAACTCAAGTTAGGTAATATTGAAACCATTTGTGCCTGTAATTTTTTAACTGTTATTTAAATATTTATTGCTGATACGTGGTACGTCTAATAATCATGATATCTTATAAATTAACATTTTAAATAAAACTAATACATTATCTTATTCTTGACTTTGAAAACAAGGAAATATCTTAAGGATAAAAAAATAATATAACTATAGTTTAGCTTATTTTTCTCACTGATTTATAATGAATAAAGTATTTTTACCTCCCTGTTGTTTGTTGATTAATTGATATATATTTTTGACATTGAGTATTTTTAACCGTTTAAAGTAATTTTAACTCTGGAAGAAATGGATCTCTTATCGTTAAACATAAGTAGCAAAGAATTACTAGATGCATTTTTTCCAGTTCCTGTCGTTTGCATGCTGCCATTATTTGAGTGTCTGAAATTTAAGTTTATCCGATATCCCATACAATATCGTAATTACCATCGTCGGATACCCACGGTTGATTAACATGCAACCTAACATAAATGTCAATGGTCCCACCGTGGGTATACGACGATGCATAATTACTAGCATCATTTGAATGAATTTGTACCTAAATTAATAGCACAAATTCTTAACTCTTTTACCTTGTATAAACACAATTTTAGCGACTTAAAATGAATGTTATTGATGACTCAACTTCTTTAACTAGTCAGAGATTAGTGAACCATATACAATGTACATCGGACAAATGATTTTAAACAAAATGGAAATAACATATTTTGACCAAATCGCAAAATTGTATCCCAAATAAGCCTGCATAAACCAGAAAATGCAAGTGGTCCGACGGACCAGTGGCTTTTAAAATAAGGTGGTCCTTGCCAAAATCAGGTGGTCTCGGACCAACGGACCACCGCTAATGTCGAGGCCTGGTTATCATAGTGACACTGAATAAGAGACATAACCAGAAGTTTCTTGGTATGCTGAGTAAGAATAAATTTCTTGCGGTAATTTTAAGAAATTTTAACCGAGAGTTGGCCTTCTTAAGAACAGACTCGGCCATGGCGCAAAATGACAGATTTTGGTCTATAGTAATCCCAAGATACTTGATAGATGAAGTTGATTCAATGGATGTACCAGAACAGGTTATATGCAGGTTAGATTGTAACCTAAGCTTTTGCCTGGACCCAAATAATATTGACTCGGTTTTACCCAAGTGCAATGACAACTTATTGTCCACTAACCATTGGCTGACCAATTCCATATCATCTGTCAATGCCTTTTCAACAACAGATAAACTTTTACCAGATACAAGGATACCAGAATCATCAGCATACAAAAGCAATTTATTTTTGACCACAGCTGACATATCATTTACATAAATTAAAAAGAGAAGGGGTCCAAGGATTGAGCCCTGAGGAACACCACATGTTATTTTGGAATCGGAAGAATAAGTACCAGAGACATCTACAAGCTGCTGTCTATCTGATAAATATGATTTGAACCAATTTAGGACGTCAATACTAAGACCTGATGCTTGCAGTTTCATTAAAAGAATGGAATGGTCCACTGTGTCAAACGCTTTCTGCAAATCCAGCAGCACCATACCAACAACATTACCTTTATCATTTTCATACCTGATAAAGTCTGTAAGGTGAATCAGACAAGTATCAGTAGAGAAGCCACTCCTGAAATCTGATTGAAATTTATACAGCAGATCTTTATCCTTAAAATAAGCTTCAACCTGGTCATAAACCTCCTTTTCAAGGATTTTAGATACAACATTTAAAATGGACACAGGCCGGTAATTACCAACAGACAATTTGTCGTTCTTTTTTATAGAGGGAACAACTCTTGCAGATTTAAGATCATCAGGGACTTGACCTTGGATAAGGGATAGTTTATGATATGAGCTAATGGACTAGCAATAACTGGGGATCCATCTCTGATAAAACGTGAGGGTATACCATCTAAGCCAGTAGCTTTTTTTGACACCTAATGAAGTTAAGTATTTAAGAACTTTACTTTCAGAAACAATGGAAAAAGAAAAACTGTTTGCAAAAACACCCTTGTTTGCATAAAAAGTATTAACAAAATTCGTACCAAATTTATGCATACTTTCTGGCAACTTTTCAACAAGTTTACATGCAACTGTTGTATAAAATTTGTTAAATGATTCAGCAATAAGTTTCTTTTCAAAACACACATTATCATCAATATTTAAAACAAATATTTGTAACTGGTTGAAGATGAACCCTTCTTGGAAGGCAAACCAAGATTTTTAACAGTTTTCCATAAAGAGGTTGAGTCATTTTTGTTCTCATCCAGTGTATTAGTAAAATATTCCTTTTTTGCTTTGGCAACAAGATACTGAACTTTGTTCTTGAGAGTCTTAAATGAATCATAATTATCACAGTTTCTATCACATTTATATTTATTAAAAGCTTTATATCCCTTTCATTAATTACACTAAGAATGTCTGAGTCAATCCATGGTTCTGTTCTCTGTTTAATTCTGGTCTGTTTCACAGGTGCTATATTGTCTATCACAGATAAAAATAACTGTTTAAATATATTGCAGGCATCATTTACATTATCACTTAGCAAAACAGGAGACCAGTCAGTATCTAGAAGACTAGCTTGAAAGTCATCTTTGTTATAATTTTTCAAAGATCTTAAAGTGACATTGTTATGAAAACAAATAGGAATTTTACTGACTTTTCTTGTACAAAATATTAAGCTATGATCACTAAATGAAGTATGAATTACACCTGACTGAGTAATTTTATCATTATCAGACACCATTAAAAGCTATTTTTATCAACAGAATTTAGTTACCTATTACCTAATATTTACTTTTTAATGTTCTTAGTTTGCTCAGGAGTACTCTTTAATAGGGGAAATTTTAATCATCAGGATGACACCACCCTTTGAATGCAAAGGGAAATAAAACACAAATTTGAATGAATTTAAATTAACCAAATTTTTAATAAACTAAGTTTTTATTTACACTAAACTAAATGTTCTTTAAAACTAAACAAGTTTACAATAAGTGCTGTAATATAAACTGTTAATTATTAAACCAAAAATGTGATTATCAGACTTAACTAGCAAAGTAAAAGATTTACTAATCATAGATATGATCTTAATTATTTGGATATTTATTACTTTTTGGATTGTCTGTGTTTGAAACAATTCGAATACAACAAAGTAGTGTGTTGTAACTGGGTGAACACCATCTCAGTATATACCATGGATTATTCCCGGAGGGCACGATTAGGACGATCAATATAGTGCAAGTGAATGATGAGATTTCGTTTCACTTTCCCTAGGCAATGGATTATACCTAAAATCAAGAAGTAATTGTCAAATATTAAATATCTAGGAATATTAAACTTAAGAAAGAGCGCGAGCAGGGATTAAACACACAATGGACACAGAAGAAATTAAAAAGCAAAAAACTTGTGTAAATTCTCTCAAATCTTAATATATCCAAAACGATGGGGTTAATACTCTAAAGGCAATTTTACAGAGAATGTTACCTGCTTGACTGTAATTGCGATCATTAGTCAGAAAAAGATGTACTTGGGTTGGACAACTGCTTCGTGAACAGAAAAGTTGACTTTGCCATTCTGACCCGAAACCTGGTATTCTGAATGAAAAAACTAATATCAAT